GGATTTCTGTCCCTTAACACATTCACCATAAAGTAAGATTTCAGAACACTGGGAATGCTCCTTTTCCTGGCAGTTGCAATCCACCTGTTTTCATAAAGCAATTATGACTACATCAATTAATTTCAACAGCCTCTTGAAAGTTAACACTTTTCCTAGCATTGCAAGAAGGAAAATAGCATTAAAGTCTTATTATTTGGAAAGGAAGAGCAAATATTTACTGCAGAAGTTCAGCTGATTGCAGAAGACTGCTACCAGGTAGCATGAGTGATTTACTGCTTTCATTATTCGAGTTAAATAAATCTCCTCCTTTCCAAGCTACTGAATATAGAGTTATGCTGGCAGAGTGGATTACATTTGATCTATGTACCATGACAAGTACTGAAAATTGTGGGCTTCATTGCTATATTCACCCACTCCTTCCTGAACATGAGAAGAAAGTGTCAATACACAGAGCAGCCTTTGCTCTGTTCCTTCAGCATAAGCAAGCACAAAGCTGCTCTGGAGCTGTAATGAGTATACAGTCTGACACCATGGAAACTGAGATAAACTCCTTTTAACTCTTTCAACTGGCGTTCAGGGTGTGGCACGAGACTAAAATTTTCCTGTTCATGAACATTTTATTTGCATATATCACAGTTCCTGACAGGCTTGCATTAATGCTAACTGAAGCTTCTTTTATTATTATTACGTATATGGATGAAGTCTTGATCAGTGTAGAAGCAAACAGCTTATCTCAGTCAATCTGGTTTCTGTATCATTTGAAAATTAATGTATTTAAATGCACTGTGCTTGTTTCAGAAGAGTGAGGAGATGAGTTTCCTGCATTGCTCAGCAGATGGGCATCTCTGATACCAGCCCACAGCCTTTACTCTGGGTTTCTTTCACACAGTTTGGGAGGCTGATAGATATGCTACAAGAACTTGGATACTGTTTAAGAGATTCTTCCCCTTACTGGGTTTTCTGTAATCTGCCAGCCTACCCACACCACACCCAGACAAAATCAAACCACCAGAGAAAATAAAAAATCTGAAAAATGAAACCCTGCACTTTTCAATCCCCACTCAAAGTACAATGAGTTTCTTCCTTATTTTATAGCCTGCTTAATCAAAGGGCTTGTCTTCAGCAGAATCACAAAGACTCCTCATGCAAACAAAACCCTTAAGTTTCCCTGATGGAAGTTCAGCATTTTGATTTGTTTTATACCATCACTCTGGCACAAGAGGTGTCACCACAAACATCACCAAACTCAGAAACCAAGGCCTGAGTTTCTAACAAGCGTTGCCAGGAAATTTAGAAACAAAACCCACAATCATGAAGGAAAGTTTTATTTGACTTGTAATGCCCACATCCTAAGATTAAAAGTATTTAAAAAAAAAAATAATAGCTGCAAAGAAAAAGAAAGAAGCAAAACAAGAACCGATTTTTACATCTTTAGGAAATCAAGAAAGAAACAGGCACAAGTTTACATTCATTAGTTTCACATATGGTAGAGGAATGTTCTACTGAAGAGGAGTAAATAAAATCCTGCTTTCCCACCTCCTTCTAAGAAACTGCACATGTCATGCTCTTCAAAGCCACACTGATCTCATATATACAACAAGGCAGATTTTTCCTCATATATTTTATTAGTGTATTTGTGCTTTAAAGATCATAAAGACCCTCCTAGAGCCACTCAGTGCAGTCTCTACATACACACTGAAGTACCGAGGACGTACTTTAACCACCAGTGAAGTGGTTAAACTTGTTACAACCTCCACATAAAAACTGAAAGTCATGCATATTTGAAATTCTGTATAAGCATCAGAAACTACTGAAGGATTTTGTTTCATAGCTGCTAAGCCACTTTAAATCCCCATCAGTGTTAAAATCTTGCAAATGTCAGCCCAGAATGATTTAACCCCTTGAGAATAAGGGTTCATTATAAAAAAGGCCAATACCTTGTCTCTAGAGATTCTACATGAATATGGATCTCATCTGCTACTAATACTGAAGAATCTCCTTTGCTAAAACACAATATGCTGGGGGAAAAAAGGATTTTCTAGTGATCTCTTACGAAGCCAGAGGGCAGGCAGTTGTTCCATCATAAACTTTTACTCTATCTGGAAAAATCAGTACGAGGTGGATCCTGCTTTGGCCAAGCCCTGCTCTGGATGGGATCAGTGGGAACAACCTGAGGCCCTGCTTGGGGCTGCATCCAAAGGAGCTGAACGCTGCAGGTCTCTGACCACCACCCCTCAGGTCAGGGAGAGCTTCCCCCACAGGAACAGCTCCTTGAACCCACTGATCAGAACAGGACCCTTCAGAGCCTGCAAACACTCTTCTTCTGCCTTTCCAGCTACACTGGGTTTGGGGAGGGGGAAAGAGCAGCAGTGAAATAGCAGGGGGGCATGTAGACAAGTTTAACATCCTCCCCAGTAAGGAGAAGATCAGTTTGTCTCAGCAGACATCCTTGAACTGTGCAGGAGCAAGTCTGTGTTGGTGGGTGGAGAGAAAGAGACCTCAACATTCAAGAAGCTGCAAATGTTCTTGAGGAAGATTCCTCTTTACCTTCACTGGGAGGGCAGCATACCCTATTTGCAATAAGGGCTAAGAAAAAGCATAAAGCTGCAATAAAATGGTCTTTCTTCCATTTGATTGATTAAGAATTTACAATTTCTTAGCTTAAAAAGCTGCAGTGCAAGTTAGTGTTTACTTTGCAGGACCCCTGTTTCAGTATCCACTCCCTCAAGGGTGCAAGAAGAGCCAGGTCAGTGGCCAGTGTTCTTGCCTGTACACAAAGCAGGCAGGCTGCCCCAAGCACTGGGGCCAAAAGACACTCAAAACTAGTAAATAAATACACATAAAACAACTCTAAAAATGAAAAATTAACAGCACTGATTGTGTAGAATTACAATCCACCTTACAACATTAATCTTCACATTTTACCATCTTTTTAACCACTATACAAAGCTGCTGAAGTTACTTACTTCTAAACCAGCCATACAAGAGCACAAAACACTATAAACATTTGTTTTTGGCAAAGTAACTTGCACTCAGAATATAATTTACTTTTGAGTCACAGTTCACATATAGCAGGCGAGTAGTGCTAATACCACATCCTCTGTTTCTTCTCTCAGCGTGTGCTGCCAGGAGCAAGACACCTCAGAGACCTTCCTTAGTTTCAATTGCTGTCTCCTAAATCCTTGTAACAGTTTCATGCAGCCTCACTCGGGTCAGCTGCTCCTCACTTCTGCCTCAGCACTGTCTTGTTTACTGCATTCATCTGGTCTTCAGGATAAGCTACATCAGTCTGATGTGCTTACAGACACCAACAGATGTTACAAGCTCTACACTTACCCTCTTGCAAACATCCCAGGAGCTCCTACTCCTCATCTACTCCTTCTGCATCCTCCTGTTTACTTCTTCCCTGCTTGCTTCCTGCTTTTACCAGCAGTATCCACACTAAACACCTGAAGAGGACAGCAGATGATGTTTGTATTCTCCATGCCCATGCACTGACTTTCCACTCATATGGAAACTCCAGATTCTTACTTTAATTCCCCTTGCAAAAATATGGCTAGATAAGACTTTTATGCCTTCTAACTGGAACATACACAAGGGTAACTAACCACTCTGGAGAAAAAAACAGCAAAGCCTGTGTTCTGGTGGAAGTCCTCCTTTTCTTCTCCCCAAAGACAGCCTCATTCTGAGCCTGGGACTTGGGGCTGTACATGGACTGCAAGAGGAGAAAGCACAGGCTGGACCCTCCACCTTCAACTGTGGCATTGTGCTCAGAGGACACAGCACATCACTACAAGCCTCACACAGAGCCAGGACTGCCCTGAGTCCAGCACACTTCACTGCCACCCTCCTGTGCTAGGATCCAACTCAGCACACGGCCCAGAGCAGCCAGATTTCCAGCGCTGGCTGTGCAGCCAGGATCACACCACTTCAGAAAACCCTGTCCTGGCACTACAAGGTCATTTGACCTATAGCCAAAACCAGGCCATGTTTCTCAGGACTGACAAGACTACAAAGAGGTGTTTCCTCTCTAGCAGCTGGATCCCAGCTCTCCAGCTCTCCACACACACAGCTCCCTTCATACAACACATCCCACATCCACACCTCTCACTGCCTCGTGCGTACCAGGAACAGGCACCACACTGCACCAGTCCCCTCTGCTTGTGCACACCCCACACCTCCTGCCAGCACCACCTCAGGGGCTGGCTCATTCTGAAACACTGCAAGGCACTTTGATGGATGTTAAAGACTCTGCAGGAGGCAAATCCACCCCCTCCTCACACTAGCTTGCCTTAGGGGCAAACAGACCTCAGCAATCCCCTAAGCGAGGATGACCATGGCACAGAGCCCATCATCTGGCCTGCAAAGAGCAGCAACAGACCAACTAACTCCCTTAGAGCTTCACACAGGTTACAAAAAGTCTGCATTTTACTTCAGTGCTTTACAGAAATATTTCTTCCTCCCTGGGAAAGAACCTTTGCTAGTCACATTACATATGTTAAAACACGTAAGGTAAAAAATCAGCAGTAATGTCTGTGGAAACACAGCAGAGAACAGTGATAAAAATCCTAAAGCAAACAAAGGCTCCTTGAGAAGCTAGGGGTCAAGTGGAGAATTTACCAGTGATGCTCCTGCTCCCACACACCATCATAAACGACAGGGATTATCTCCCAGAAGACACACAAGCAGAACAGGTACACATGTTGCCCTATTCAAGGGAATTGGGCAAAAAATCTGGGCCCAGGCATTTTGTGGTTTATATGACACATTATAAATAATAACATGAACAGGAAGGTGAAACAAAGAATAAATTCAAACCATAAGCTGGCAAGTGGTCCTGGATCCATCCCAGCAAACACTACTGGCTACAAAAAGCAGGTCCCACCAGGTTGCTGTGTGTTGAGATAGTCCTGCTGCCACCACTGCGTGTTGCAGGTCGTTTTATCCATCTCTGGGAAGAAAAAGGTCCTTGTACAAAACTCTTTTCCTCCGGGCTGACATCAGATGAGCTCCAGGGGCTCACTTTCTCCAGGAAGCATGCCGTTCACCTCGGGGCTCGGCTCGGTGCCCAGGTAGCCCAGGAGGATCTCGCTGCGCCGCCGCGACAGCTGCAGAATGTCTTCTGCCAGAGACTGCACTGTCGTGTACCTCACGTTGTCCAAGTCAAACATGTCCTTCAGGTACTGTACTATCTGGTGCTGAAAAGACAAAAGGAAGGCTTACAGCATGGAGACCTCCTTCCCCCTGCCAGCACCAGCAGCCTGGACTGCAGCAAGCAGAGAACCCCGTACGGAATTCGGCACATCTGCCGTCCCATCCCAGCAAAGATCTGCTTCAGCCTGGGTGTTATGTTGTGGCTAGATCCCCTCGTGCCTCTGAAACAGGCCAGCAGAGCTGCTGGAGTCAGGAAAGCAATGCTGATGTCCACAGCAATATCCATCCAAACATCTAACAAACACAGCACAGCCTCTCATGATATTATCTACAAGAACTAGAAGAGTTAGGGTTTAAGATCAAATAAGTAACTTGTAAGATCCCACGTACTCTTAGACAAGATATTCTTTCAGCATACACACCATAATCTTTTCCAGTACTGATGGTATGAATGGATGCTATCACACGTTTTTGCTATCAGGTATAATAAATTGTGCTGGGAATTCTTATCAATCTGAATTCAGCAATCTGCATCTCAAAAATCAGTGATTTTTAGAAGGCTTTTGTACAGCACCAGGTTTCTTAATGCCAGCTCAGTCACCAAAAGCACACATTTGCAGTGTTAGGTCAGAAGACAGCAGGAGTCCCACACAAATTAGGTACAGAAAAGCCACCTTACCTTGAAGAAACCGCAGACTTCAGATAGCTGCTGCTTGGGCCCCAGGAAACCAAAGGCTAGAACAGGACTGACATGCTCCGATACGGAGTAGAAATGAGAGATAAAGCCATCTGGTACCTGCCACAGAGAAGGGAAGAACTGGTTAACCTTGGTTCTCAGACAGAATTAGCAGCTTATTCCGTATCAGGTACCGAATTCTCTGCCAAGAGGCACCATGCTTCAGTAACTGAAGTTAAGAGCTACTTGAGAACATCTCTTCCTGCAGAATTACATTTATTTTTCAGATTCCTTGAAGGATGACTAGAGCCTTCTATCTTCAGGTTTCCAAACTACTATTTCAGGAGGAAAATAAATAGAAGAAAATGAAAGGGAACCATCAAGCAGTCTTTACAGACTCTATTTATAAGCTCTGGACCAAGCCAGGAGAGGGCTTGCACTGCATGACAGCACAGTAGTACAGCTTCCAGTGCTCTTATTTCCCTTCGTACCATCTCATGAGGCAAACCCAGCTGTACCAGCTGGCTGTGGGGCAGAGTTGAAAACTTGCCAGATGCCACAGACCCTGTGGCAGAACTGAGATTGTGAAGTTGCAGCTTCCTGTTCTCCAGGTCCATGAACTCATCTGCTGTGATACTTTAGAAAGCCACAGATTTAAGGGAAATGCATCAAGCAATAGCTAGTCAGCAATCAGTGCTGGGAAGTGGAGAAGGGCATGAGCTGTTTGCTGTGCTACCAACAATTCAGGAGCAGCCCCTTGTAGCTTGATGTCTGTGACCATCCCTACAGTATCGCGAGCAGGTAGAGGAAATATCAGACAGGCAGCATTATCTTTTGAATCCTCACATTAACAAAAATGGAAAATAAACTCAGACATTCAGTAAAATACTGGCATGGCACTGGAGCAGGGACAGCTGGACCCCAGTGCTCTAAAGCATCACAAAGAGCAGGATTCAGTTCAGTCTTAAACCTCTTAGATTTTGCATTTTGTCAAGATCTGGGTGCTAACTTTTCAGCTTTAAATACATTAGACTTGTTCCCTTCTAATTAATTTCACTTACCATCAGAAGCCTCCTTTTTGCTTTCAGGACCGACCAGCAGGCAGTTGCTAGAGCCTACAATTACCAGAGAAAGACCATCAGTTACTGGGATTACTTTAAAAAAAAAAAAACAAAACCAAAAAAACCCAAACCAACACACACACTGCCATCACAATATCAAAGCAGTGGCCCTTTTGTGCCAACAACTCTACAGCTGGTTACAAATCCAAGTGAACTGGAAGCAGATTCAGCCTGTCCGGATCCATTCCAGAAAAGCCAAAGAGTTTTAGAAGATTGCCAATACGATCTGACATAGTTGCCAAACACCCCAGAATACAGACAGCTGTCCAAAGGTGCCTCCCAACCATTTCCTCAGTCTGTGCAAGTAACCAGTCTTAAATACACAGCCAAGGGCCAGGACTAGAGGAAAGTGCTGCTATTTGAACCTCAGTGACTGCTGAGGGACCACCAGAATGAATGGCCAGGTACAAAAA